TTTAAATAATTTAGGATCTAAATCAAGAAAGTTTTAAAAGTTGAAAGACCTAGGGCATGATTTTTCCATTTTCCAAGTGTTGGGATATAAACCCCCAAACTAGAAAAATTCTATTTCTAGAAACCCCAAAACCCTTTCTCTCACACTTTCCCTTTTTAGAAATTAATCCAAAGATTTTCAATCACTGATTTGTCATCGAATGTAGCTCCGTTTGCTGCACCGCTCTTACCATCATGTTTGTGGTGTTGTCCCAAGTCCACTGGTGTTGGTTTTTTTACTGTTGCTGCCAGCGTGTGGAGGGGTGAGCAATCACAAATTTCTAACGTAGCATAATCGAGCTCTTCGCCATCACTGTTGTGAATTAAGCTTGGTAAGTGTATCAAAACGCTTCACAATTTTTTAACTTTTCAGATAGTACGAGATAATAGGCTAGCAGAATCTGCATCAAGAGGACTGATCTCTCCTCACTTTTGTACCACTTATATTTTTGTATGCCCTTTTTGTTATACTTTGGTGACACGTGTTTTTTACTATTGTCTTCACGTATCTGTATTACTGATATTTTATTTTTCGACGCTGATATCTCTATATATTTATCACACGGACTTTTTTATGGTTATTTCAGTATTTTACCATTATACAAATTTTATTCATTGAAAAATGATTTTTTTATACGACATGTGATCACCTAGATTCGACCGTTTCGTCCTGTTCAGGCTTATGGTATTACATAAATAACTAGAATGAAAAATATTGAGTGTTAATTTATTATTATTGTTATTATTGTTGTTGTTATTGTTATTATAAAAAAAATAGAAAGTTTCATGAATCTATTGATTTAACAACCATCAATCAAAATGATAAATTTTATAATATTAATAATTAAATAGAAAAATAATTTCGCCATCAAAATAAAAATAGAGTAATAATTGAGTGTTTGTTGGGATAGTTTACCCCTCATTTATATAAATATATAAATTAAATTTTATTTCATATTATCACATATTAATTTCTCTTTCATGCATATATAATTAAATGTATTAACATTTGAGTAAACATGTTAGGTTTTGAAAATGATGGTTATAGTAGTTGTTGACGGTCTATCGAATTCAATTTAGATAAAGAATGATTCATATGATGACAAAAAATGATGATGGTCATAGAGTTCAGGTCAAATGATAAGAGAGAATAAAAGAGGAAGGGTTAGAGCCCAAGCATCAACCTCTCTTTATAAGGGAAGAGAATCTTCTCACATGCTCTATGCTCTTCATGAGATAAAGGCTTAGAAAATATACAAAGATTACCTTGACCAACATGAGCAATCGGAACCCAATCAGGTGCAGATGCACTTGATCCCTAGGAGATTAAGTGCATATGCATCATTTTAGATAAGTTTTTATATATAGTTTAATATATTAGGGAAATGAAAAAAATATGAAAATTTACATATTTATTTTATTAAAAGGGAATACTAAAATTTCTACACATCATTTTTTTAAATTTCTGAATACGTAATTGATTCCAACATCATTATTCATAAACAAAATATTATTACTGTGTAAATCTCATCTGAACTGATATTAGAAAGATCATTTGTAATACGGTGAGAGTTAGAATACCAAGCAGGGTCCAGGCATAACTTTCGAAAGAAATTTGATGTTTCTATAAAATATATACTTGTTCCGAAAGTTCCACAATATTGTGTTTTGAAAAATGTTGCATCTTAACATAATTTCTTTAAACCCACCAAAAATGAATTTCTAATCCCTTAAATAGTTACCAAACAAAACTAAAATCCAAACATTGATAAATAATCAATCTAAGATTCAATCATCAGTATTTCACCAATTACTTATATATCTTGCACAACACAGGAAAATATATATTCAAACTGTCACAACGTCTAAAAGAATAAGATCAAAGCAATCCGAAGAGACTCAACTCTAAATCAAAGGATACCGCACACTAAACTATGAGTTATTATGAGAAAACATTAGGATCTTTAGCGACTGATACCATCAATAGTTTTAATACAAATGCCTTATTGATGATAAAAGAAAATACAGATACTAGAGAACTAAGAGAAGAATGCCCAAATCATAGTCACTACTCTCAATAACTCTATTTATAAAAGGTGTAATATCCTCAAATAAGAACGAGCTATATATACAATATATATGTTGAGTATTGGAAGAGTTGAACGAATTGACAAACTTAACCTACCAAATCTTAACTTCTAGCAATAGTGCAACACTTTACATTCCTAACAACGTCCTAACTTAAGTTTAACAAACTTAATTGTATTTACTGTTGAACCGTAACCAAAACTTTAGTATCCTAATTTACATGTAGACGCTTTTTTTCAAAGTAATATACAAGACGCTTACTGTTGGACCAAATATCAAGATCCAAAGGTTGACTTGGTTTTCGGTACGAGTGTAAATGAACATAACGTTCAATGAATTGTTTTTGAATGATTTGTATAACATTCATTTATATTCGTTTATTAAGCTAAACAAAAAAGTATGAACAAAATTTGTATGTTCATTTAATAAACGAACAAACACAAATAGAGATGTGTTTGTTTTATTTATGTTTACAAATAAACTCGTTTATTAGCTCATTTATAAGCTCGTTTATGTCATCATTTACTCGGATTTCCTTTTCCTTTTAATTTTTTACATTTAAAATTTTGGTGAAGATAAGGACTTAATTGAACGTAATGTGAATTTTAGAGTTTAAATTGTGAAACCTAAAGAACTTAAGGACTACTTGTGTAATTTCATTATTTTTCATTGGCTATACAAATAAAATAATAACATTAAACAAACATGTTCGCGATCGTTAAACGAATATATTAGCAAATGTTGTTCACAAACTCTAGACGAACGAATATGAACACCTTCAAAAATAAAAAAAATAAGGCAAAAGAATACCTGAGGACCATGTACTTCTTTAAAAAAAAAACAATGTGGCCCTCAACAGTTTTTTACACTCAATGTGACCCTCGAACTTATAAAAATAACTCAATGTTATCCTTTGACCAACAGTTTCCATCGTTAACCGTTATTATACTGACCTGACACTTCACAATGATGATGTGGTAATCTACAATACTGACGTGACAATCAACAATGGCTGGTGACCTAGCAGATAGACAAAATTGAAATCTTTTCATGTTAGATTGTCAAATTGATATTTTTTAAAGTTTAAAGACTTATTTGATTTAAAAAATAAAAATATTTTAAATTCAAAACATAAAAATATTCAAAACATAAATATAATAATAAAAAATAAAAATATTTTATTTAAAAATTAAAAATATATATTATTAAGTGAAAAATGTCAATAACCACGTTAATGTTTCTAAATAATATATAAACCTCAAATATCTTTCTACCAAAAGATAAATACATATAAAATACTAAATACTTATACGGATAACGAAATATAAATAGCTTTAACATGTTAGTTTGAGTCTGTTTAATAGACTGTAATTAAATTTTTGAAAAATAATTTACGTAAAATAGAGTACCTGAAAACTATTTTACATAAAATGAATTATATAAAAATTGTTTTACGTTAAATGAATTACGTAAAACTGTGAATTACATTTTCTTAGAAATAGTTTTCGGTAACTATTTTATGGTGTTTTTATGATATTGTGCAAATCATTTTCACTATTTGTTTGATACACTATAATTAATTTTATAGAAAATGATTTACAGAAAATGAATAAAGTTTGATTTCGTTAATATTTAAAAAAATTGATTCGATTAACGATTAAAGAAAAAAAGTTTGGTCTATTCGGTTAATGGTAATTTAATTCGATAGGTGATTGAATTAACCATTTGAACATCCTTAATTTTAATTTTTAGTATTTTATTATCATAATACTAAATTATTATATTAATGTTAAATATATAAATTATTATTACTCATTAACAACAACAACAACAACAAAACCCAATTCCCATATGTATAGGGTAAGGGGGAGGTAGGGTAGTAGGCTGCCCCCAACGCCAGGTTGAGAATAGCTTCCGTGGAAGACCTCCGGCAGTCTGAAAATTAAAAATATAGATAAAATGCAATGCATGTATAAATAATTACATAAATACATAGTTAAACAATATTCATATGCAGTCATTAATATTATATGTGCTTCTGTAATGGGGAGTAATCCCTGCAAAATAATCCCTGCGAAAGAATCTCTGCATATAGACAGAAACATAAGACCCGGCTAAATTTAACAGAGGAAACATGACGAGAATGACGAGAATGATATACAGAAGTCAACGATAGCAAGCTCAGTTCTAATCTTTCATAAATACCAATAACAGAAAAGTATAAGAAGTAAAAGTCATGGAAATTACTACAAATGCATTAAAAGAAGACAGAGATGATACACCCTATAGATGTGACCCACATTACTCGACTACCCTAGTCACAAGCCTCCATAAATATTAATAATTTATTTAAAAATTTAATATCATATATTATTATAATATATCTTAGTATATATTAATATAATATTAAAAATATAATAATTATATTATAAGTATATTCAATATTTTAATCATTAATATTTTTATTAAAATGATATTTTAATATTAATTTAATATTAAATGTATAAAATAATATTTTTTGATACTTATACTCTAAAGTGAAAAGTTGAAAAATATTTTATAGAAAATCAGATGTTAAAATAATTTGCAAAAAATACAAAAGAATTAGAAAAATAAATTAGATTTAAAAAATCAATTATAACTATTCAACATTGAAAAATATTTTTCATAAAATTAATTACAACTATTAAATACAAAAAATGAAAAAAATATTTTCAGAAAACAATTTTCAAATATGAAACACTCCCTTAGTTACTTACACGTTCAGGTAAAGTTATCTTTCTAAGCCACGCGGGATCGTCAATAGTTGAATAAAGGCGCGAATGTATGCCCCACCCACCGAACGCATTTTACTTGTATTACTTTAATTTTCTCCTTTCCCTCTTTCTTCCGCTTCTTTCTACTCTAGTGTACTCTTCTGTTCAGTTCAGTTTGAAAAAGAAAACTGAAAATCGACGGCAATGTCGACGCCAACTTGGGATGCAATCGAGAGTTTCAAGAGCATAACCGGACAGTCTGAGTCAGTTGCACTACGGAAACTAGAGGTACGTTCCTTTCATCACCTTTTCTTTTTCTTTCTTAATTTCCAGATCTAGAATCAGCGTTTTCTAGGGTTTTTTATACAGTTGTTCTAGGATTTCTTGATAACCAACTAGGTTCTTTGTGGAAAATAATGTTTTCATTTGCTCGCCTAAAGTAGCTTTGAATAATTTTTCTTTCTTGTGTTTCAACGTGATAGATGTATTTTCGTAATTATTCTAATCTTTTATAATTATAATTCTACATTTATTAGTAATTGGAGCGTGATGTTATTATATTATGTTAATTTTATACTCATTTAAATGCTTTGATTGGTAAATAGGAGTATGGAGGCGATCTAAATGTGGCTGTCAGTGCATATTTCCTTGAATTGGAAAGAAGCGTGTATGGCTCTGTCCCTTCGTAATGTTTTCATTTGTAAATTGGTTACAATTTATTAAGAATTTAATTTCCATTTCTTTCTTGTGTCTGCTCTTTCTTTCCATGTTTCAGTATGAATCCGATAAAAGCTGATTCTTCTCGGCATGATTCTGTAGACGTGAACAATCAGAGTGGATTTGGAGCACGTGGAATTGTTCCTCTCATCTCAGCTGTTAGAAGATTTAGGCCTTCGTTATTGCTTGACCCCAACTATAGGAGGAATTTGCTAAACCAGATTGGTGCTCCTAATTTCAATCACCAAGCAACATCTCCTCATATGGGAGAGGTGACTGGGGTCCCTGTTGTGTTTAGCAGTGGAAATGAGCATCCCCTGTATTCAGGAGTGAGACCTTCTTCCATCACGGATTCACTAGGTACACCATTGTATTATGGAGGGGGGATTTACAACAATGTCTCAAGAGATGGCCATCAACAGATCAATGGCGTAGAATCTGAAATGATGCAAGCTGCAATTGAGGCATCTAAGGAGTTTGAACAAACATATATGAATCAGCGACATGGTTCTTCCAATGTATAGACTCATATGGTTAACAATGTGGTTCTTCCTTGGGGTTTTTCTCTTCAGTTTCATAATTTTTTGATGCAGGGTTCATCTAGTGTTGGGCTTCAACAGAGGCATCTTGAGCAAGAAGATGATGAGCTTGCACGTGCAATTTCATTGTCTTTGAAGGTTTTCACTTATTTTTTTTCTTCTTTTCATGATTTGATTTCATTATATCTTTTTTCACTTTTGGTCCTGATTTCTCTATAACAAGATTAAGTTCAGACAGCAGATGAAGAGAAAGCAATACGAATGTTGAAGGATCATTATGAACAAATGGGAGCATATGATTCAAATGATAGAACTAAGGCAACAACTAGTAACAACTCTAAGGTGTGCTTTTTTAATCTGCTTTAGTTTGTTATAGAAAAAATTACTGCAGACAGGTTCCTTCTCTTAAATGTATTGATCTGCAATAGAATGTATCTATTGCAACTGATATGAACCTTTAATGGAAAATTTCTCAAACAGTTGGGTTTTGTGTTATTTAATTTTGGAACTAATCTTTAGACTTATTGTTTTGTTGTGTCTTAGAAACAAATCCATTGCTCTATGATAAAATGTTCGTTTGCTTCCCCACCAGTACAAGGTGTTCAGAGAACTAGATATGTAAAGCTTAATCTTCAGTTTAATTATATAGCTCCATATATTAAGTTTATCTTTCTTTTAGCTGGTTAGATCTATAAACTCTAAAGTGAATATCCTGACTCTCTGGAACAATAAAATAAGAAAACTTTCAAATTCTCTAGGTAAAAGTGTAATATGCTTCTTGATTCTCATAGAAGAACCTTTTCCTTGTTAATAAGAAGTGTGCTGAATTCAAGGCAGGAAACTCATCAGTTATACAACCACCAGTGACTCATGAACCCATCCATGATATTCATAATCATCTTCGGAGTAGAGATTCATTGAACTCTAATGAGGTATTACTAACCTTCTAATATAAAGAAAATTTCTGCTTCTCAAGCTAAGGACCATGATAATGTTTTACTAATCATTTTGACTTCATCTTTTCTGGGAAAAGTGGGTTGGTATTTCAGAGAAAGAGCTTGATGAAGCAATTATGCTGGAGACCCAGCATTTTAGCCAGATTACCGAAGGTTGGTTGTGTCTCCCTTCTCATGAGCAAGGTGGTCCAAGTAGAAGCATTAATGATGGTCTACAGGCTGTATCTCAGCCACAATCATCCTCTTTAGTGGACCAACGTCTACTGCGGAAACAGCAGGTTAAAATGACTCCTAGAATGACGAATTGTAGTATTTCTTCTGACAAATTGGACAAATTTCTCTTGTAGGATGAGGAATATCTGATTTCTCTATTAGCTGATAAAGAAAAGGAGATGGATACTCTTAAGAAAGCTGAAAGTCACAGTTTGAAAGAAGAATCTTTCAGAAGGAAGCTTGAAGGAGGTGATTTTTTTAAAACATTTGTAGGGTAAAAAATGCATTTAATATTCTTAATTTGTTCCATTTGTTCTTATGTTCTATTTGTTAAATGATTAGGACACTTGTGACGATGATGTAAGTGGAAATATTTTCCAATCACCATAAAAACTTTATCCAAAGATTCATTTAATTATCCTAGATTATGTAGAAGCCTCTTCCAATCAACTAAGCTTTGACTAAAATTGAGAATCTCTTTACCACAAAATAATGGATATATTTTATTCTTCTGCTGATTTACTGACAGTGGGATTGTTCCTGAAGCCAATTTGATTTTGGATCAACTCAAGCTTAAAGGTTGTAGAGCAGTTTTCCCTTATTTCATCTGTTTTTCTGATTTACTTAGCAACTATGCATGCATCTTATGTCATGATGAATTACTGCTATGTCTATCTTAAAGAAATCTAATAGGCTTGATATTCGAATAAAGAGTATTATATGGCCATTTCAAACTTGGATATTCTCTTTTCTGTCTAAATTTAGAAGGATCATCCTGGTTTGAAGTATGTAGGTAGGCTAATCACTTGTTTATTTCACTGGGGCAGGAAGTTTACAAGGTAGTGGCAACAAAAATGACTTCACTTCCACCAGAGCCAGCAAGGGATGATGAGAATGCAGTAACTATACTTGTTAGGATGCCTGATGGTACTCGCCATGGACATTGCTTTTGCAGGTCAGACAAGCTCCAGGTAAAACTTTTCTGAAGTTCTAAAAATATTGTAGATTCATTTATTTGCTATTCTGATTCTTGTTTCATTCCATTTTATCTTGTTTTTGACTTCATAGATGTTGGTAAAGTGGCGAAGCCGGGCACTTACAAAGTGGTGTGTGCTACCTTACCTTCTGTTTAATCATAATCTCTTTACCTGATGATTTAACAGAAGTCGTCACATTCTTCATCAAGGAGCTTTCATTTTTCCAATTCTGTCAATGGTTTTATAAATTTATGATAAAATGCATCAAAACCTTTTCAAAGGCGGACAGCCAACTTGATGTTCACTTTAATTACAACCATATTTCAAATCGAAAGTATACCAACAGCTCAGCTTGAATTGGATTAATAATGTATATTCTCATTTGTTGCCCACTTCCATTGATTAACAGGTAAGGCCCTATCCTCGCCGTGCTTTTGGTGCTGCTGACTGCTCTTTAAGTTTGAATCAACTCGGTCTGACAAGCAAAAAGGAAGCATTGTTTCTGGAGTTCATATAGGATTGACTATTTTTCTTGAGCTGGTAGCTTTTGGCCAGGTACCATAACTCGTACAAATTTATCCTGCTGACTTTATTTTTCTTTTTTCGAGGTTTGAGTTATTACACTAAAAATAAACAAAAGTCATGAAAATTATTCAGGCAGCGTGACAAATTTCTATTCAACCATCGCATTACTGGGAAGAAAAAAAATTAAGGCGTACACTAAAAAATATGAAAATTAAACAATGAAAAAACATAGAAGAAAGAAATAAGAAACCAGAGCAAACTGGCCTTTCTGTAAGAGCTGTTTTAATTCTTTATTGGTCTTGTTTTGGTGTCAATGGTGATGTAGTCCAATATTGCTTAACTGCAAAAAGAATCTTCTCTCTTTCATGGGGTCCTTTTTCATGGTCTACAATTCTCCCCTCCCATTGCATAGCATCTATGTTTTTCTTGATTTTCAACAGCACATCGACATCGTCTCTAATGATTACACTGCCTTCTGGTCGTAAAATTCTATCCATTTCCAGAAGGATATCCTCCATTTCACATCTGCATTGTCAAACAATTTGTCCTCGTAACCCTAATACATGTATGTTTATTCATTTAATCTGGGATGGACTGAAGGGACGGGTGAGGATAATTGACCCTTTGAAAATCTCAAATTCTTATATATATTGTGTTTTCTATTGATAATCTATTTTTGTCTACTAAAAAATAAATTTTTAAGTTCGTCTTTTTTTAAATTTTATATGTTCATCTTCTCTAACATAAAATCTTGTGTCCATCCATGCATTTAACTTCTTTTGTTACCTGTCTTTGTAGAGGCTGAAAATGGAATCAGCATGGATGAAGTCGTAAGTCCTAGGATAAGTAGACATTGCCTCACACCTACACAAAAACCCATCATTAAACAAATTACCCACCACCAAAAATGATACTAAAGGAAAAGAGAAAATAGAAAGTACCAATTCTGATATGTTCCTATTAATCCTCGTTCATAGATGACTCCAAGGGTGTTGATCTGATCGGCCTTGACGGGGACGGCATTCATGACCCAGAGAGGATCATCAAAGAGAGCAGCTGCAAAGCCTCCCAAATATGCATTCATGTCTAAAAAGTTGCGGTACCTCCCTGTCTCTGCTAGCTGATAGTCTATTTTCTTATAGTATTCTACTCTCTTCTTCCAGACCTCTGTGTTTTCTACAAACGTATTTTCTGCAATTCCTGTTAAACTTCCACTGCTGATTCTTGGAGGAATTGCATTCAGCCTTTGGGGCCATTTTGTTAATGGCCCACCTGCAATCTCTTTTATATCGGATACTTCAGGCAACGGGGTTAAACATTTCTCCAATTTTGTGTACCTGCTCCACAGATTGAAAATCTTATTGGTCAAATGCTTTTGGTGTGGAGAGTAGCTAGTAATTGGAAAAGATTGATAAACTTGTTTGAAGATTGAGCAATTAATAGGTTTAGCTCGATTCATAACCATGGATTTAAATTATGGTTGCAATCATATTTTCGGTTGCATTTGTTGACATAATAGAAGTTATTGCGGTCACTGGGGTATAATAACAGTTTCAGACGATACCATTATCATCTCATTTAAAGGCTGATATTTCGATAATGGATCTCTATTTAAATCTGTGATCATAAGCTATAGTTCCTTTTCTTATTCCTAGCAAAGTTAAAAAAAAAACTGAAAAAGATTGATGCTTTGTTTAAATAGATTAGCAGGTGGATAGTTGAAAAAGGAAAAAGTTGTGTTTGAAAGATGCTAAAACTAAATGAAAAGTGATAGCTCCTGGACAATGCCTTTACCCTATCAGTCGTTTTTGGTGTAACTGCCAATGTGTTTTCTAGCAAAGTGAAGAATTTGCTGTTTTGATGTTGAAAACAATTCTTTTCTCTAGTCACAAATCAAATCTACCTTGAATGTACCTAACACGTGCAAATTGAAAAGAAAATAAATGAAAAGAAAAAGAATAATACTGACCATGCCACGTCAGGGTCTTGAGACTGGCAAAACCTTGGGTGCTTGAAAACCTTCCTGTTAGCTTTGCAATGGATATGGTTTGTGGGTTTTTGCCACATGGCAAGATCACCTTTCTGTACAATCTTTTTCCAGCAAAGGGTTCTAGCCATGGCCTCAATTCCAGATTGTTCTTGCTTCAGGTCATCAGCCGTCCGATTCCAACCTCTCCAATGGTTTTGCCAGTTGATGGGTGGTCCTGACAGTATCCAATACCCACCCGGACGTAGGATTCTATCCACTTCAATCAAGTAAACCCCATCTACAGTGTAATTAAGAAGCAGTTTTAGGGGTTATCGAAATGAAAGTGGACGACAAGTAGAGCATTACCATAGGATCCCCAAGGGATGAGACAACGAGAGCAATGGGCGATATCAAAAGCCCTAGAAGGGTAGGGGAGTCTAATGGAAGCAAGGACTCCCACCAATGCAGGGACGCCTCGTTCAAGAGCGAACTGAACTTGAGATACATGAGTGTCCCTTGGTGCAAATGACATTGCTATTATGTTCCTTGATAATAGGTATGCTCCCCAACTTGCTACCTGACCAATCAAGCCAACATATATTTATTCAACCTTTAAGCATGTGAGGTTAACCAGAGATGACCGCTGGTAAGATTCGGTTAGGATTTTGGTTAATTCGGGACAATCCAATAAATGCACACCGTCTATTCAGCCTGATTTGACCCAAGAAGCATATTTTTTCCACCCAAACTTGATTTTATTTTATTTTTAGGGTAAAAATTCACATTCAGTCTGATCCAACATATATACATTTATATAAATTATTTTTATTCGATAAAATAATAATTTGATTAAAAAATGATAGAGAATAGTATTATAGAAACTATCTCTAATATTATAGAATAAATTATCTCAAGTTGAGCAAGATTTTTCACCTTAAATATGAATCTAATTCGATTTTATCTTTCATAAAATTTGATCTAACTTGAATCTAATATTTTTTTTAAAAAAATCTTGTCTAATCAGTCAAATCAAAATATATCAATTTTGGATTAAATTATGTTACCTAGGGTTAACCTATCCTCTTTGTTAATATGGAAATTAAGATTAGGGCATGACCCAACTGCCAAAAACGCCATTCAGACAGAAAGTTGTCTAAAACAAATGATTTGTTATTGGTGAACCACTTTACGTGAAGATGAAGACTTGTACAATAAATTTGGCTAACAATACAGAAACAGTTGGTAAAGACTTGGTAGTGCATTTCACCTAAATATTTGCTAAACACAACATGTGCTTATGGAATCCTTATAATACTCGCCATATTTTCCTTAATTACACCATATATATACATAAAGGATTATATAAATGAATAGTATTCAATTAATAGAGTTGCTGAAAATGACTGACCAAAGAGTAATTCAAGCCTATAAAAAATGCTATCAAGAACAGATCAAATTAAAGGAAAATTTACTTGTATATACTTTAAGTAAACCAAAAGGAAACAATCAAACGAATTTCTTTTTGCAGCATTCCCTCTAATTTTCCATCTCTCCAAACAGGTCAAAACCAAGAAAAAAAAAGGAAGAGATTCGACCGTTTCAACACGGTTCAAGACTTGACCGGCTACCCAAAGTTTCATTCATGAAAAATCATCCAACATGAACGTTAAAAACATAAAAGGGAATGATGATTGGAACGTACGTACCCCGCAACCGGTATCAATGGCGGTTCTTATGGATCCATCTTTGAGATTGATCAGCTTGTCGATATCATCGATATAAGCATCGGCGCCACGCGGGAACATGGTGCCGCCGCCGGGAAACCTGAACCGCTCCCCCTCCACCTTAATCCAATTCTGATTCTTTTTCTCCACGGCCAACTCTTTGTGCGGCGCGTTAGCGAACCATGCAAACTCTCTACTCTTAGGCCACCTGAAAGGAACCTTGTAACCGTACGGTGCCGGTATCCGACACTTCAACAGCTCGTTCTTTTCTGGACAGTGCCGCTGCCTGTACACGAGCATGTCCCTGTCGAATTTCAGCGATCTCCGGGCGTCCTCGCATGGGGTGTATTCAGAGAGGGAAGGGTCACAAGGAGGGAAGTGAGGGAGAGCCGCCGTGGTGGGCGACGGATCGGGGGGGAGGTGGTGGGGCATGAAGTCTAGTAGGGTGATGTTGAGGGAATAGCAAGGGGCGGAGGGGATGACTCCGGCGGCGGTGGGGATGGGGGATAAAGAGTGTTGCCAGATTCCGATGAAGTAAAAAGTAGCGCAGAGGATGGCGAGGAGAGTGAGAGAGTAAAGGTTGGAGTTTTTGGTGGTAATGCGAGAGAGAAATCTTGTTACCGCCATTGACGACCAAAAATTAAGCTTCCTTCCAATGATAACTAAAGAAGAACGTCGGAGACTCATAACTAAGACAAGCCTATATATAAATCTGTTTCTTGTCTCATTCTATATAATTAAATTAAAATGATGTATATTAGTTTAATTTAGGGTATCTGTAACTGTTAATTAGGTAAGTTTATGATGGTTAGGATTCGGATGCGTTGCTTACCTTCGTTATTTTTATATTCACTATTATGCTTAATTATAATTTTTAGGACAAATTGTAAGTTTAGTACCCCAATTATCATTTTTGTTTCGTTTTGGTAACTCAACTATGTTTTTTTTCAAAATCATACCTAATGTTTAGTTTTGATTAAATTTTGGTCACTTGTTGAAAAATTAACAACGGTGGATGAACAAAATAATTTTATTAAATTTTTAACGGTAGATGACCAAAATAAAATCAAAATCACCATAAGGTAATGTAATATCATCATTAAAAAAGTAAAAATACCATGTCAATAATTTTATTAATTTTTTAACGGTTGATGACAAAAGTAAAATCAAAATATAACATTAGGTATAACTTTAAAAATGAAATAGTTAAGTGATTAAAATAGAAAAAATGATAGTTGGGATACTAAACGTGTAGTTTATCCTAGTTTTTATTTAATATTTATATCTTTAGAAAAACCACATTTGTATTTTATTGTTGATCAAATTTAAGATATATTAAACCTTTTGATTTTGGATAATCTTTATTAAAAAACAATCATATTTTATTAGTGAATCTTACGTTTTTCTGGATGACGATTATGTTGTGGAAGTTAAATTAAATTTACATTTTTATTCATTCTATATATCGAACAAATAAATAAAAAATATTTTATATAAAAATTATGTTTTTAAATTTTTTGTAATCTATCATATTTATAATGCAACAAAATTTGTCGAAACAATAAAATTCGTATTTCCCTAATCTTGTATTATTATAATTTTGAACCGATGTGATGTATACATAACTAAAAAAAAAATTCTAAAATAAGTTAAATTAAATATTTGTAAGAGAAAAGTAATAAACATCATCACACTCTTTTTTCCATTCATGGTAATTAGATTTTATTAATAAAAACAAAATAAAATTCAAAATTATATTTGTTAAAAACCATTATGCTAAAACACCTCATTTTGTTCATATGTAACTTACATATGTACAAGCACTAACAGACATATATACTACTAGCAAACTAGCTATAAACACACTAGCAAATACTAACCACCTAACTGCTACAAACAAACTCAACTTAACTAATTAACCAACACTCCCTCTCAAGTTGCTGGTTGAAAGATGTCTTTTAACCCCAACTTGGTAACTAGATATTCATCCTGCTGAGTTCCAAGGGCCTTAGTCATTATGTCTGCAAGGTGGTCTTCTGATAGAACGTGTTCTTTTGGCCTTGATCATTATGTCTATAAGCTAGTCTTTTGGTCGAACGTGTTCTGTTCGTTTGTTTCCTCCCCGAATCTTCTCTCTAACAAGATGATAGATAATCTCTGTGTTTTGTTCTCTCTAACAAGTATCGTGCCATAAGAGTTGAGAAAATACATGCCTCAAGAGCAAAGAAAAGCATGTCATAGATATTAAGATTATTATTCAAAATTTAAAAAAAAGATATAATATGAGAAACAAAAGAAGTA